ACGTAATGGGATCTCCAATTACCGCACATTCAATTCAATTCAATTCAATGCAAGTATCAACGCGTTACCGCACGGAAGTACGTGAACGCATCATGTTTTGCAGTGTACTACTCCAATTTTTTTTTGTCAACATATAGTATCGATTGACAAGTAAGATACCGTGAAACGTGTCTAAAGCGAAGCAAAACTGCGTTTGGATTTCATGCCCGTTGCACTAGAAAAGAAGCCGCCTGTCTTTTATGCCATAGAACTCACGCAGTGCAATCGCATCTGCATGGAAGATCCTTCGGAAATGAACCCGTGCGTCTGACGCGCAACTGACGCACGCGAGAAATTGTGCGCTGCAAGTTGAGGCGGGTGAGAACTGTAAACAACCGTCGGCGATCCGGAAACAGACTATAACCTTTGCGTAGGTCTTTCTGCACATCACAAACTGTTCTATTTAACCGCCGAAAAATCCCAGGGAATGGGCACAAATTGAAGAAAAAACCAACTCGCCAGCAACACCCGCATCTTTTTATACGTTCAGCAGTTGTAGTACATACGCATAGAACTAGTTGTCGCTGCTTCTCGTGATTCTCGTACAGACTGTTAAATTTCTCCGAGTCTAAAGTTAAGAAAGCTGATGGTGTTCTTAAAAATAGAAAGCTGATGGTGTTCTTAAAAATAATGTAGCCCAAATAACTTCAACAATGGTGTAAGGACTCGATATAGCTATGAACTCACACAGCCTCTTAAAATTCAACATTTCACACGTTGACGAAATGACGTTAAATGTGTGGGATAGAAAAAAACAGCACTAAACCGTTACTATTCTCGGCCAAGATACTGTGACCAGCTAGCACTACGAACAGTTGGCAGAAACTTCTTCTTGAAAACTTTATTTTCAACAGGTCAATATTTCACAGACAAATCAATGGTCATACTTTACATGAGCAAAGCAACAAGAACCAACAAGCACATTTACAGGTGAACTGAACAAAAATCTCCTCCACAGAAGTCATATACGAAAGCTCAAAACCAGAAACATGTAGATATTCAAAATCGCGGAATATAAAAAAAGAAAAATAATATAACAAATCACAAGAAAGTCATTATACAGTCATTAAAAATTAAGGAAGATCAAAAACAAACATATCACAGTTATAGCACAGATTTGCACACAAGATTGGATAGTTCATATAGAAACTAGAAAAACCAAAAAATAATCCAGATTAAAAGCACGGTTCCCAAAGTTTCGCAAAACAGACATGAATGTGAAAAAGGTTCCCATTCAGGTTAAACAAGATACTCCGAGCTGGCTACACATAACAGTCCGGGTTTGGCGCGGCTAGTTCGCCCCAGCTGGGGGTCACAGAACTCTTGCAAGACAGCACCTGATAATACAGGATCAAAAGTAGGATGGATTTCTACAGAACCATAACAAAAATGGATGTGACGTAATCATTCATTAGGTTGCCGTTGCACTCCTCGTGGAGTATAGCGGCAACCTAACCGAGAAGTTTGACACTAATAGAGAACGAATAAAATTCATACCCAAAAAATCACCTCACGGTCTCACAAACACCTTTGATTGAGTTTTCAACTGATGCATTTTTCTACAATATTCAGTTAATGAATACAAGATCACGCCAAAGCCGAAAAGGAGGAGGGGGGGGGGTGGGAAAAAGTACTCTCCCCTGCTTCGAGGACCCGGATGGGGGATAAAATTACTAATATTAATCGAAATAATGAATTATTAGGAATAATCATCAAAGAAATAATAATAAAAAGATGCTAATGCTCAAATACATATGTAAAAAAGATCAAAAAAAGGTCTCGATGGCTCACCAGGGAAACATTTCCGCCACAACTCCAATAACTCAACCATGTCTTCTTTTGTTCTGGAAACGTATTTTGAAAGGTGTGAAGGAATAACGAAGCTTTGTGAAGAAAGGACGCTTACTCAAGACTGACAACTCCATTGAATTCAACGTCACCGTGAATGCGCTTATGGTGAAAGTACACCTGAAAACCTAGGAATTATATGTGCACCCAAATAAGAGGAAAAGCTCTCGTAATAAATACCTTCCGCCAACATGGTGCTGAGAAACTGCAGATATTGCACTTTTTGACATTCTTGCTCCAGTGGTTTCTGACATGTTCAACGAGACGATTTTTGCCGTATCGCGGTTTCCAGGTCATCTTCGCGACACAGCCCTGGAAGTAAAAATGACAAGCGGGATGTTTTCGATGTGTCACTCATGATCAAGTCGAATCAGAGGAATACTGCACTTACCGGGAATTTGCATTCGAAGACGCTTTCAATGTGCGATTTTGGTTGCGAAGAGCCTTTACATTTCGCTTGTAGCGCACTGCTCTAGAAAAACTTCAACTTGGTTTTCAAGGACAGTACCTCACCTAGGAATTGTTTTGAACAATATTTACACGAGAATACTCTTCAGGAGACGGAACTGAACCGCAGAAAAACCAGTTTTTGAATCCCTTCTTCTACGGAAAAGTTGGGAAGTCCATTGAAACATCTGCCACAAGGCTGTGCAGCTAGTGATACCAACCTTTTGCAATTAGCGCCTTTTTCTGGCAGCTGCCTCAATCGTCATAATCCACAAAAGAAAGAGTTCAAATGCGTGTTTCTCTGCATTTTTGTTATGAATTATTTGTAAACTGTGGACAACGTCTACTGGAAATTGCTCTGGAATAAGAATATCGGAAGTCTGTGGTGAGGAACTTCAGAGTAATGTATCAAAACAACTAACCTCATTCAAAATTTTCGGTATACTCTCGCCAACCGACCGCCGAGACGCAGCTGATGAGCGACGAGCTCGTTTTCGCCTTTGCCGATTAGATTCAAGTGAAAGTGAATTAAATACTTCGTTGGCGTTACTGAGCGATTTCTCAGGACAGTGGACGGGAGCTGTATTGGAGTTAAGGTGCTCCAAGACACCAGACGCTTCAGCTCCAACAACAGATTCAACTCCATTCTTTTCATCATGATTCGCTACAATAGGGCTCTCTTCATCTTCACCCTGTTGCTCGCTCATGAGCTCAGGCACTCCCACGGAAGTCGCCATTTGGACAGCGTCTCGCTGAAGAGGTTCTTCATTCTCGTTGTCATGTGATAACAAAAACGAAGTGGCTGTTGCACAGGTTTTGAGCGAATTGTTGGTAACCGCTACTGGTCCTAAGGATTTAGGTGGAATATCATCCTCTTCATATCCTTCGATACAGTCTTGAAATATCTCCTCAGCATCTAAACTGAGTTTACATTACTTCTTCGTTTATCAAACTACATTTTCTTGGCTGGTAAGCGTAAACATCGCTTACTGGTATTGAAAACTTCATTTTACTTCACAATTTAAATTTTGGTAGCAATTCAATAGTAGCCACATAGTAATAATCATGCATAAAAAATTCAAACCTGCATCTCCTTTAATACAAACTGCGGTATCTAAATGTTCGGAAGTGTGTCTTCCTCCAGCGGGGGCAATTTCATCAGATTCATCAGTGTTCTAAAAAAAGCTTCTTCAATTGTTCTCCTTTTACAAACTCATTGAAGGCAGTTCGTAGAGAAACCTGCAAGGGCTCAGAAATCTTTTAGGCAGTCACACAATTCAATAGGTAGCGTGACTTTAACGCGAGAATACGGCGCCCTCAGTCCAGCTGCCGCATTACTGTGAAATTACCATTGTAACCAGACTATAGCATGGTGATACAAGCCAAAATATAATAGTACCTTTTGGAAACCATATTTTGGAATCTTCACTGTGATCATGACGAGGTCAGCATATACTTTATGGTCTGGTAGGATGAACCGGTGCCGATTCCCGTAGTGTTTACCCCCTCTGATATTATTACCTCAGACGACCAGATCACCGGTAGTATTCTAGACACTACCAGAAATGACTATGAAGTCTAGAGATAACGATAACGGGTAAGGGTAATGGTCATGGAAATCGCGTTTTCCTACTGATAAGATCGTCCTCACATATTTGTAGAACTTTGGAATTTTACAGGAATATGAATAACGATGTAACGAATACGTACGTTTAACGATACACAACTAGGGTGAGGCATATATTCCCACGAAAAGAAGCAACTTACAGCGTTAGCTCCATTATTGGATTCTTCCACGGTGCATTCGCGCGGCTTCGAACAACGCATATCAATAACACGAGTAGATTCACAGGACTTCATATCAAGAATCGGAATGTTCATGCTAACAGAAGGGCATCCAGTGGACTTCTAAACAAGAATTTATTATACAGGACATTTTGAAATTGAACTTCAGGAATAACAACTCACAAGAAAGCACTCAATGTCGACCCCTTTTTCGCGAAGCGCTTCAATGGTTGTATTGTAAATATTAATCTGCACGTAAGTCGGGCAATCCATCCCAGTCGAAAGAGGCACACCAGGAAATAGCCTTCCTCGCATTGTTCTCGTCTGAACAGGAGCGCACAGAATTGAGACGAAGGGTTTTAACCTTGGATGCAAAACCATTTGGAATGTATGTAGTAAAGTGTGTATGTACATGAGGGTAGCCGGGCACCACCCGTACATACGCACTAGATGACCCTCAATGACTGATTTTCTCAAGTAACACGAATGAAAAGAAAGAATTCCTGACTCTGCTGACAAGGATCCACCGTTCTTACAGGTTCATGGCGGCCTCCATCTCTATTACTTTCGCCTGTTATGACGATTCCCAAATTCCACTTACTAATCTACTAATTCCATTTCATCTAATAATCAGCGTCCCTTTGTTATTTCTTGACTATAAAGTACCACTTTCATGATTAATCTCTATTTTCGCTGGTTTCGATCCGAAATTAGCACTAAAATTAAAGAAATCATCCCTATTACCCAACCGCAGCCAATGCAAAAGACTATCTCTTGATTAAGTTTCAAAAAAAAACAGTCCCCTCTTTATTATTCAGTCTAGTACACTTTTACTCAACTACCCATAAAATTTTGCTTTATACTGCGAAATTCAAAACGACAGGTCTTGGCCGGGATCGAACCGACGACCTTCTGCGTGTAAAGCAGACGTGATAACCACTACACCACAAGACCACACTCAGCGCTCGCCGATTCGTCACTCTCCCGGCCGAGCGCGCTCTCTAGTCAAATTCAGAGCTATTTCCCAACATCGCATTCGCTCCTTCCTAAGTTATGAAAAATGTGCTCAATACACTTGCTACTTGAAATTATCGAAAGAAATATCCTCCTAGGTGACATTGCTACCCATACTCGAGACTCATCCACTCTGTTAATATAGCTGGCAGGAAATAATCTTTACGAAAAGTGTATAGTCGGACCTAACATGAGGAGAATGCTTATGTTGGTGCTTATGCTAGTGCTTCAAATTAAGAAGTAGTAGGCATAGCAAACCATATGAAGTATTTAGAGATAAGAAACCAACCCGAAAAGGTTTATTAATGTTGATGTAATGGACAAACAACAAGGACAATGAGAAAACAGTACATGAAAACAAAAAAAAATCAGCATAAAACAATATGTTTTTACAGAACAATATATTCACAGATGCTCAAACGAGCATTACTTCAAAGAAACACTGTTGAAATTCACAGGAGCAAAGAGAATATCAATAAAAGCATAGTTTTACAATTTACATGCACAACCTGGGTAAAAAGGACCGGGGCTCAACGGGTCAACGTCACCCACAACAATAGAGTTTCACCATTTACATGCACAATCTGAATAAAAAAGAACTCTGAGAATCAATAGGTCAACAGGAACAACAGAACTCTCAACATTTAAAAGAATCTAAAGGATAACTTGTAGCAATAACAAGCAAATTGCTCAAATTTACCAACTTACAACTTAGTCTACAAACCATTACAATTCGACAAGACCTTAGCAGTCATTGATATTCTCCAAAAAAGGCTATAAGCTGATATTTAGAGCCCTGAAGAGATTTCACGGAGAATATTGTTTTGCTGAGAGGGAATAGAAGGGTTCTCTCCACGTATTTTAAACGACAACTCATTTAACCACTGGAATGCCTGGCAATGGAGAAATAAGGAAATGAAAGACACGTTTTTCATTCTCAGAAGAAGAAATTCTTGCTTTGAATAGCCGATATAATAGGTATGAACGACAACCGTCGCAGCAAATTCGAAATTTCTGATATATTTGGTAGAAGCGAGAAAACAAATCCTAAGCAAATGAGAAGTCTCAACGATTTTAGAAAATTGTAGACAAATTCGGCTTGGAAGACTGTAGCGCAAACCAAGCGGGAAAACATTCGCGCCATAACAGTTCAAGCTGCTCCAGATCTTCCTTTGTCCTTCAAGAAGTACAGGAGCATCAAACACAAGAGGATCACTGGGGTGTGATGCATCGCAAGTGAAAATTAGGCGTCGCCATCCCTTTACAAACTGACCCGCTCAAAAGTTGGCACAGCAGGAGTGAGGAGTGCTCGAACGGGCCTACCGTACTGTCTCCTCTCACGATGCACTACACTTGGATCACATGTAAAACCCAGTTA